GGGCGGGCGCGCTCGGAGGGGCGGGGGGCGTTGTCGTCTTCTTCAGCTGGGCGGCCGAAGGGAAGTCCCGCAGTTGATGCTTTGTCATTTTGTGGCGCTACTTAAAGGACTGGCGGTGACTGTCGCTTCCTCCTTTTGGGTCCCTGGCTGCAGGCTGGGTGTTTGCGCGAAGGAGAGACATTAAGGAGATCATCCCCACCACCATTATCAAGCAATAAGGCATCTTCGTTCTCCTAGAGATTCGCCGGTTGTCGTATAGGGGGTGGCGGCGGCGTGTGCAATAAAATCCTGCACCTGGGATGAAAAGCCACACTTTTCAGGCACAACTAACGAGTCATCCCCGCGCCAGCCCTAAGAAAATATTTTGTGAAGCAGCAGACGAGAAACTCGAGTCAGAGGGACAACTGAGTGGAAGCGAGTGCGTGGTAATGTCCACTCTACAGCTACGACCAGGCCAAATTGTTAAAATAAAACCATTTTAAAGCCTCCGGCTCTCTCTCTTTACCCAGATTCGATTGTTCCCCCCCCCCGCAAATTCTTCCCAATAATTTTCCAACTTGCCTTTCCTACCGTATGAAAAGACCCTTCCCCACGTACCTTCCTTTTAATGTAATACCTATATCTTGTCTGATTTTATTGTAAGATGTTCGCACATAAAAAACCCTCCGGCTAAGCCCGCCTTTGAGTCCTGAAGAAAGTCAAGGCTGCAGCCGAATCCTTTCCTATTTGTTCATGAAGTCCAACAATCGTAACGGGACTCGCAGCCCCTCGGCATTGCAGCAAAAACCTCGGCGCACCATTCTCAAAAGAAAAGCCATTTATCTCGATCTGGATGAACACCTGTCACCGTCTTAGTTCATCCCCTTCCAGGCATTTTCTAAAAACAAGATTCTCGTTCGAGAATATTTGAGCGACCTGCTTCGAAAAGCACGTGGACGTGACCCCCCCCCCCCGCTCCTTCCAAAGAAGTTTCTACCCAGCTCCTGGAGGTGGGGAGAGCGGCACGAGGAAGATGGTTTCGATACTTTTCCTCTGCATTTTCTTGCACCACTACGAGAATAACCGAGGCCGCAGGCTGGCTGGAAGCGATGCTCTGACGTATTTCCGTCGGAGAGGAGGAAAAAGCGCGTGCAGGTAGAAACGTACCTCGTGGGAACTCCGGCAAAAGTTCTCCTGGGGAGGTTTTCGCGCATCCTTCCTCCTCTTTCCTCATTCGCTGGGTGCGCTCGCTTAATGCAGCTTACTGCTGGGTAACTCTGCTTCAAAAACGGGAACATTCCTCCTGGACCCCATATTTTATTTTCAAAGTGGATACCACAAGGTAGTCTTCCCCAGATTTAAACTGAGCACCGGCATTCCTATGCTTGATTCCAAGAGGATACACTCGAGAGTAATCAGCTAAAGCCCTCCAAAACACACGAAGGCTAGCTCCAGATATTAATCATACTTAGAGTAGACCCTTTCAAATGAAAGAGACATAAGCTGGTTTTGATTGACTTAAGTTTCATTGAGTTCAATGGGAGTGTTCTGTAGGTTGCATCAAAAGCTTGTGTGTAATTCCTAAGAGAACCTCTCTAGGTACAGACAGAATTACATCCGAAAGCTAATTTTTCACTGAGGTCATTTTCACACTAATCATAACATCTCTAAGTGTAGAAGGCATTATCAGTTAATAGGGAACGCCCCTAGATCACGTTTGGCATTCTGTGCCTTTGTCATAGGAATATAAAATCAACATTGCTTTGACTGTACCTTGAATTTTAAAATGGCTGCCTTGCTTCCTGCTCCCTGGTAACCAAATTCACATGTTCGCATTTATAGGCAAGAGCTTGAGAAAACATGGTAGGACTGGAATTGGTGGAGAATAGTTAGTCAATATATATGGCTGCCCCTCTTGCAACAGGGACTCTTGGTGGCTAACAAAATTAAAAAGTAAAAAAACAAAAAAACAAAAACCAGTATAGCCACAGAATGGCAGCTGAGGGCAATATTGACAATACAATGACATCTATCTCATGTGCTCACTGAGCTGAGTTGCTGTAACATGCTGGTCTTGTGTGAATGGGTCAGTTTTGAAATACTGGGTCAGTTTTACAAATGACACTTAAAGGAGTTTTGTATTTCCATTAAAAGGATATAAAATAGACTACAGATAAGATTATTGTTATACATAATATAAATACATTATTACCTTGAACTGAAGAGGACGTGTGGTGGTGACTGTTGGAGAAACACCATTGTTTCAGTTTATTTTATCTGCTGGGGTCAGCTGTTCTATGCTCCATGACTGCATTTCGTGTATTCCAATAATAAGAGGTGGGTGTGTTTTGTTGGATTTATTTATTTTGGTTTGAACACATTAGGAATTCTTCCAGTTAAGAAAAGTATAGCTTAAAAATAATATGATATAGCCAGTTGTTACATTGATCCTAGAAATAAATATATAAAATAGTTAATAATGCCTCTCATTTATCATATTTACTATTGATGTGTGAAAGCCTGATTTGTCAGGAAGAATGGAAGGACAGATAAATCTTTAAGTTGTATATCTGATTATATTTATTTATAGTAAATTACCTTTCCATTGTGTATGATTAAAGAGGTCTCCAAAATTAGATGGTCTGTAAACTCATGCTAGTTAGTTAATAAAAGGTATAACTTTTTCTCTGTTTATAACTCTTGATATATATTTAACTTATTCCATTTCATCAACTTCATGATTCTAAACTTGATTCATTTGCAGATAAATCCTACTGATTTTCACTGAACTCTCATATAAATAAATATATTGCCTAAGGTAGCAATCCTAAACATTCTTTCTAAGACATCATTTAACATTCAGTTAAACTTAATTTTGATTAAATACATTTGGGGATTACCCTAAAGTATAATCTTGCCTTCACAAAGCATCCACTCTTTCTGTGAATTGTTACAGAACAAATAACTCCCCACATTATTTTTTTATGGATTATAGAGTTTTGCTCAACAAAATAAATGAAATTAAGAAAACTATGAATATAATTGAGATATAGTTCTCAAACCCTAATCCCAACTCGTGACTGAAAAGCTCTTTTTAGTTTATCAGAACTAAGAACATAGGTTATACCAACTCAGACTATTGATGTAACTCAGTATTGTCTATGGTGACTAGAAGCACCTCTCCAAGTTTTCAGAAGAAATTTTTCCTAGCCTCTCCTGGGCTTACCGAGTAATTGAACATGAGACCTTCTGAAAACAACGTATGATTGGACCCCTAAACTATAGTTGCAAGTTCCCCACACAAAATAGTCCAAGAAATAATATTGAAGGCTATTGTACTACCACTTCTACAATACTCTAGAATGTCAGAACAGCAAAAGATCATGACTAATTTTCTTCTAAGGACATTATTCAAGAAGCATGTTTGATTATTTATATATTTTATTTATCAAATTGTATATGCTGCCTATTCTGATTCTAGACAGCTTACAATATATGAACAAAGATTCATAAAATCATAAAATCCAAACATAATTAAATAATCTGATTAAATAATCAGATTATTTAAAATGATAAATACTGTAAACCTGTAGCTGCCATATAATAGGTCTAGAGGATTGTTTTTGTCATTTTCCAAAACAGGGTAAGGGCACACCCAATCTTGGGGAGCAGTCTGTTCCAGAGGGAGGTGGCTACTACTGAAAAAGTCAATTTCTGGATCTCAAAAAATCTGCGATCTTTCAGGTTGGGTATCCAGATCATCTTCTCCCTATTAGATCATATAAGTCACAGATTCTACATGAAGATTATATGGTCTCTCCCAGTAAACAATATATTCAGCATCCAGAGCTATAAAACTCTTGCTGATACGGATCTTATGGTAGAGCCTGACCATCCATGGGATAGTCAGATTGTTCCAGCTTCTGGAAGTGTTTAGAGAAACAGACTTTTGGCCCCAAAAATACAGAAAATTGGTCTTCCAGCTCTAGAGTAAGGGGGGAAAAAAATCATTTTGAGGGAAAACTAGCCAAGTATGAAAGCATACAGCTCCAAAGATGCATATCAAAACCTAGTTATGGTGGAAATATTTGGTGGGAATAGTATATTGCCTGTACTGTATTCTAGTTGGGCAATAATAACATGATATACTGTTATATTGTGTTTGTTCCTGGAGCAACAGAGTGAAGAAATATCTTTTGGGCAAGTCCATCATTCTTAACTATTAGAAATTACTAACTGCCCAGTGTTACTAATTTAAGATGGAGGCCATACAAATTTTCTAAATAAATAAATACAATGGGAGAAAATGGAAATGAAGCATAGCATGATTAATACTTGAAAAGAAAGTCTTTAATCCATTTTTCAAAATAGGTAATAACTGAAGCGTTGTAGGGTTGCTCTGATTTTGGGTTTTTTGGAAGATTGATAACAGTGATATTAAAATAACCATTATGTCTGTATTCCTAAACATATTTGGAAAAGAATACCTGTGGAATAGCAAATTACTGCGAATGCTCTAAATGTTTTGTAACACTAATATAATCAGCTATATAGTTATGAAATAACAAGTGGCACACGAAAGCCACAATATCCCTTCCTTTAACTGTTACTGCCTATCTGATAATAAGGGAAGAGAAACTGAAATTGAAAGAAGTCTACTGAACGTGGAGCATAGTATTGTAAAAGTCTCCTTTGAAAGATTAGAATGTAGCTGCTGATAAAAAGTTGAGGTAGAATTAACCCAAAGATC